AGAGGTGAACACGTGGGGGAGTGAGAGAGAGGAAGAGATAGTGATGCATGTTCATCCGGAGATGATCAATGCACGAATCCGACGGAACGCCAGCGTGATGAGAAGGAATCCACACGAACCACATATGCAACAATAAAACAACATACATCCATGCAAAATCAAAGTGGAGTGTGACACAGCGGAAGAATCGAGAATAGGACCTGACGCGTCAGACTCAGACTCGTACAGGCATCACCACACATGTCGATCCAGCAAGGAGGGTGATATACACGCAAGAAGATCCCTCCTTGCACACACACGTGGGGAGTATCCACAGATGATGGGGGCGGGGATGAGACGAATGAAGAAGAGAAGGGGGAGACCAGGAGGAACTCGAAGTCGTCCAATCAGAATAACCTCCTCCTCTCAACTGTCCGACAATCTCGAACCAGAACCTGGGCTGAACGGGCCCGGAATGGTCACTGCTTCAAATCTCTCTCTCTCTCTCTCTCTCTCTCTCTCTCTCAGAAGAAGAAGGTGGCTATGGAGGGTCGGAAGAGAAGCCGGATGGAGGAGCGGAAGAAGATGGCGTCTGCCGTCTCTCTCACCTGTGCTAACCAGTGTCGATGGTGGCTGACGCAGGTCGAAAGTCCGGCTATGGCACCCAGGTAAGTGACCTCACACCCTGCGGCTATGGCCCTCCAGCCTCTGCACCCGCTACCTCTACTGTCTGCTATGGCGCAGCTCCAAGAACACCGGCGCTGTCCTCCCACAGCGCGTCGCCCAAACTGTGCACCAGTAGGACTCATTTATGTCCGCTGCTGGGCATTGGTCCAGCTATATGGCGCTGGACCTGGTCCTGTGCCTCTACGGCCTACGATCATGGGCGTCCAATACTAATCATATGTCCAAGTCCTGGTCTTATCAGTAAAGGCAATTCTTGACCTGGCCTACAACGGCCTACCTGCTAGTCCACTGGTCCAAACAGGCACTGCCTGTTCGGACAATCCGCAAAAGTCCGAAACCACACATCTGTGAACAGACACAAATAGAAGAGACAAAAGAAGAAGAAGAAGAAGAAGAAGAGACAAACTCAGTCCTGAACTCAGCCAATAAATAAATACTGAAAAATAATAATAAAATAATAATAATAAAATAAGTGCCCAAGGACAAAAATGAGAGCCTGGTCCAGAAAATGTCGCCATGGGCCACCAGGTCGCACAACAGAAGGGTCTTTGCGGCCTGGGGGCCGGTGCAGAACTGTGGGGTGTGATGGGGCCCGTGTACACGCCCCTGGGATGCTACAGATAGAGACGTCGGGGAGAGAGAGAGAGAGAGAGAGAGAGAGAGAGAGAGAGAGAGAGAGAGAGAGAGAGAGAGAGAGAGAGAGAGAGAGAGAGTAGTCGACGTCTGTTGGTCGATCTTTTTTTGTTCTTTAGTTACCTTTTGATTTCATCTCGTTCTTTTCTTCCATTCAGTTTCTGTTTACCCGTCTGCTTTTGTACTTTCTCTTTTCATTTTTTTTGTTTTTTGTTGCGCGGGGCTTTTCTTCGAGAATTGGTTGTGGCAGACTGTTGTGTAGAGATCTTGAGTGTATTGTGACATATATATTTTACTCTGCATTGGGTCCTTTTCGAAATGAAATCTGGTTTCAAAAAATCTAAAAGACATAAATATCCTGCGTCCTGCCTCCCCGCCAAACGAAAATGAACATAATGAAATTAACCAGTTAGTATTTCCCGAGAAGACTGAAGAAGTATCTAAAAATTGGACAGCAAAAGTCAAACGAATGCAAGTCCCCTCCTTTCCCTTAGTGCCTGCAATTCTGGCCAAAATTCTATGTTACCAGCTGTCCGATGACCGGACAGCTGGACAGCTGGGCCGGACGTTTGGGTCGGGTGTCAGGTACACCAGTTGTGCGGGATGCGGGACAATTGATTTTCTGCAAATCGGGAGGGCGCTAGTGGGAAAAAAATATTGAGGGTGGCCACGCGGAGACCCCCAGCAAAAAAAATGGGGCTGTTTTTAGTGGGAAAAAACAAAACAAAAAACAGGGTGGAGGGGTGGGGTGGGGGGGTCTGCTGCAGAAGCAGCTGATGCAGGCGCAGCTGCAGCAGAAGGTGCAGCAGCTGGTGCAATTGGAAAGCAAAAATCAAAAGAATGCAAGTCTGCTCTCCTTAGTGCCTGTAATTCTGGCAAAAAAAATTAAAATAATAAAAAATTTTACTGGATTATTAGACATGACAATATTCAACCCCTTTTTTTGGTGAAGTACAGCTTCAGATTTTATGCTGCTGCTGTCAAAAGTGAATTGCTTGCAAAAGCTTACCTGATCTTTGTGTTTCTAAAATTTGTAGAGAACATTTCTGTATCGCGTAGATTCGCTAATTGGTCCTCTTCCGACATTTGTGCGGGCTTCTGCCCGCACTGGGAATGCGAGTTTTCTACTGAATCTGGCGATATTTATTGGTTTTTGTTTGTTTGGTTGGCTCTCTTCTGTTTTTTGTTTTTGTTTTTGTGATTTGTGTGCGGGCATCGCCTGCTGCTGCACCGCCTGCACTGCGGGCAGTACTAGCTACAATCTTCACCCGACTAGAACGCCTGGTCATTATGGTTGTAATTGGTGCAGTTTTCAGTCTAGATACAGCCATCCATAATGACCGGGCATTGTATTTGGGTGAAGAAGACGGTAGTCAGTTATTACGGTATGCGCATGGTGTTGCAATAGCCCCACTCGAAAAACTCAAAATAACGAAATTCTTGAGTCATTTCAATAGGCTCAGAAATCAGACGTTTCTCTGAATCATCGTATCGTGCTTCCGCATATCCACGTGTACACTTTGGTAATGGGTGGGGGCTCAACTAGGCAGCGCATGGAAATGAACATGTTGACATGTGGATGGGGATGGGGATCCATGATGCTGGGGCACGGGTCTATGTGTGAGTTGTTGATGTGATCAGTATCCGTCTGTGATACAGATGGCGGCTTTCCAGAGTGTGAGTGGACTGTGTCATCAAGGACAAAGAAATGACATCTCGCATTGCCTGCAAGTGACTGTGGGCGGCTATGGCTATGGCCCGTGTACTATGCGGCGTGCTCTCGTATGGACCGGTTTGGGAATGCACAAGTGGACTAAAACACCGGGCGCTGTTTATAGGGAGCTGAGAGCTGGTGAAGGTCAACCAGAAGCTAGAGCAATTAAGGAAGGTTTCAGAATCCGAAGGACACATGGAAGCCAATCAAGGTGCAGATGCAGAAGTATCCGCACCTTGACGATGACATTCGGCACGGGTGTTGGATCAGTTAGCTTTGTCAGGGCGTTTTTAGTAGTGCCATCACTGTCATTAGGGTCGCAGTTGCTGTCGCTGTCTCGACTATCAGCTTCAGCATCGACATCGTCAGCGGGGTCCCTGGCATCATTGTCAGGAGCACCGCCATCATGTTCAGCAGCACGGTCATCGAGTCCCGGAGGGGGAGGAGCGGAGTGGAATCGTAACAGAGGAATCGACAGCTGTCTGCCGAAGAAAGTCGGAAATCGGCCAGGTGCATGCGCAGGAGAAAACGATGATGTGGCATTGGGCTACACAGAAAAAAATGAGGATGTGGTGTTGACGACTTCAAGTACGATATTTGAATCAAATGATGTTGGCAATGGCTGCCGGGAGATGGAGAAGCCAAGGGAGTCTTGGCTCCCTTCCCCCCCGAACGTGTCTAATCCGAGAGCAAGCTTTAACGCGGCGGTTTTATCTTATCTCGGTGATGTCATCTATGAACTTTACACAAGGCGGCACTACCTCTGCCCGCCTCAGAATTTAAAACGATACAATGAAAGGGTGATGACCGTTGTCCGGTGTGAAGCGCAGAGTAAGTTTCTTCGTCGCCTACTCAAAGAGCGGTTCTTCACCGAGACGGAGATGGATATCCTCCGGTGGGGCCGGAATGCATCCTCTGGGAGCAGGAAGGCCTTGCGGAGAGCGGGAGGAGATGTCTATAGCAAGGCGACATCTCTCGAAACGTTGATCGGGTACTTGTATCTGAAGGACAGAGAGCGCCTGGAGGAAATGATGAGCACAATTGGGTTTGGCTCCCAGTGGAAAGGGAGTGAGGGTTCGGGAAAGGACCTGTTCGCCGAGTTTCTTCATGACATGGAGCCGACAAGCAAATCCCAGGAGGGGTGACACTCGGCAGATGCTCTGCGCAAGTGACATGTGGGCATCGCCATTAGGTGGGAATGAGGGTTCTGGAAAGCGCCCATTCTTCAAATTTCTTGATGACAAGGGATTGAAGAACGAGCCTGCAGTAGATGGTCTTTGCGAGTAACCCGTGGCGCTCCTCTATGCGGGGGAGTTGAGGCTGTGCAAGTGGAGCTGAGCTGACTCCTTGCTTTGAGTGGCACGTGGCTGTCCATGGGAGGAGCGAAGCATGCTTGCACAGGGAGAGCCTCGTTTGCTTGTCAAACGAGGCTCTCCCTGTGCAAGCATGAGAGATTGTGTGGAGAGGAGTACCAGGATTGGGTGTGGCTTTGGTGAGGTAGAGGTCTCAGTGGGGGGAGGACACAGCGTATTCAGTGTTCCGAGCGTCATGGTGGCAAGGAACATGTGATCGATACAAATACGTGGCAAGTGAACCATGGAGGACTTGACCGGTGGTCGCCGGCGAATGAAAATGTGAGCATCAGCGATGCTTGGGAGATTGCACCTTCAATTGTCTGGGTCGTCAGATTTCTGGACACGTTGCTAGCAGTTGGAGTAGCTTCGTGTGTGAGTGATGATCTCTCCCTAGGTTTCCCCCCATATCCTCTCTTTTTTTTTCTTTTTTTTTTCTTTTTTAACACCTGGCTGGGGCTGCTATTGGGGGTGATATGAGCATCCCTCGATAGCAGCCTTCTCCCATTGGCTCCTGTATGGTGGGGAGCATCACCTGCTGGAAACCGGGATCCAGCGTCCCTTTTACAAAGCTTGACGTACAGCAATTACAGTATTACCCACTTGGCAGCATGGATTTCCCTGTCGCCAGGGGATTAACTGCCAGTGGCTCAAGAAGATTGCGTCATTCTGAGGCAGCCAGCGGATGAAAATTGAAGCCGGCCTCTTCAGCTTCCCAGGCTGCCAGATCGCCAACATTATACCTGGCCGAAATATCAGCTGCCTCCATACCACCGCAAATCTACCACTGAGAGGCTGTGGGGTGGAAATACGTCTGGGAACTCCTAGGGGTGGCTGCAGAGCGATTGCAGCATCCGCTTTGGTCCAGTCCCTGAAAACCATATTGTAGTCGCGGCGGAATGCTTCTTGACCTGTGATTGGTTGACCCCCGCTGTCCCATCGGATATAGGCTATCCAGCCCCCTTTCTCACTCCCCAGCCATTCTTCTGAGAAACGATTAATTGCCTGTGTTAGGTCACTCTTTGTCTGAAAGAGATCCAGTTGCTCTTTCACTTTCGACCATCGTGTCATTAGGTCTTGTTGAACCTGCAGTTTTACTAATTCTGTGGTTAGTTTATTCTCCCTCTATGCGCACATTTGACGTGTATGCACCGTTTCCTCCAGAGGGCCCATAGAACGGCCTTTATTCCGATCCTAGGTTCTGCCCGCAGGAGAGTGCCATGCCCCGCGTAAGAGCGCCTGCCAGTCCCATGGCTAGGTCGACCGCATTCCCATCTGGTGCCAGATCCTATCCCACCAACGCCACGCCGCATAAGAACTGTTCCTGTACATTGCAAGAAAATGTGTTCTACTGTTTCCGGGATTTTGCGGGAAAGGGGGGGGGGAAAGGTGCCCGGGCATGACTTGCACCATGGGAGGGCCAGGCCCTTCTGTTCCAAGCATGTTCAGTCTATTCACCAGTCCTTCGTGGGCAGGCAGCGGTGCGCTCTATCTGCCATTGCAGGGGGGCTATCTTAGCAGGATTAGTCGTGGTTTCTGTGAACCAGCTGAACCGCCTGACGTCGTCTCTGCGCACCTTCAGGTGGGTCATCCATCGCTCCCTGACCACATCCTCGGCTCAGCATTCTCTAGGTGTGGCTTTTACCGCCTGGCCAAGTACTGATAACTTTTACGGTTGGTTATTTTGCTCGCTGTGGGCCATTGCCATTCCTGCGGGTCGAATGGTAGATCCCCGAGTGGGGTGCTGGGACAGAACGCTGTCCAGTTTCCTCGTTCGTGGAGCACCCCGATCCTGAAGAGTTGTGTCTTTTCGCACCATCTCGCCACATCTGGTGAGTACCTGCTGAGGGTGCCGCTTTTGTTCCGATAGAAGAGATTGATTGACCACGGCCCAATCCCACGCACTCTGAGTTGCTGTGGATGACCACCCAGTCACAGTCATTCTCACGGAGTGACGACCCCTTGCGCAGGATGCGTACCCATTCATTCTAACGGAATGGAATACATGAGTTGCTCCAGATTTCCCCCCAGATTATGGCAGCAGCCCTTTAGAGGGAGGGGCCTGCAGTTGCAGCTCTGTTTTCCAGTCCCGGGTTTCTGAGTTCCATATATGTGTTTTATATTCTCATTATACCTCCGCTTCACCCAGCAACTCCATGGGCGATCGGAGCTGTGGTAGACCAGACCTTTGGTGTCTGTGATGTTCCTGTTGCTGAACAAGAGTTGCCTTGCCACCCCCCTCCCATCTTCCGGGGCTGCCTTATTTGGCAGAGGAAAATGGCGCCGCGCCTGTGCTCTGGAAATAAGAAATTACTTTGATAAGTTTGATTGTGATTTCTTGACGACTTGTGCTCGTCATCTGTCAGATTCCCTCTTCTTTGGGAGAGCTAGTACGATGCCCATCTTGACGACTTGTGCTCGAAGAGAGAACCGTACTTTCTCTCTCTCTCTCTGGGGCCTCTTTTTGTTTTTTATTGTTCGTTTTCTTTGTTTTTAGTGTTTTCGTATTGGATTTTTTCTTTCTTTTTTTTTTCGTTTTCTCTTTGTTGTGTCACGCCGACATAAGTGGGGACCGGCCTTCACGCACCGACCGGGCCTTCCCTTGGCCGACTCCCAAAGATGCTGGCGCGTTAACGGGGAAGGCCCGCGGCCGATAGCTGGGCCAAGTACTGGTGGTTTAAGTGTAATTTTTGCTGCAATTTAACATGCGGCTCTGATGCTGTCTCTTATACACATCTAGATGTGTATAAGAGACAGGGATTATACTGTGCTGCATGCCTCTGTCGCTGTCGCTTGTTGGCTTTTCGCACTTAGTGTTCTTCCTTTCGGAATGGTCCGACGGCATACTCGCACTTGTGGACATTTGAGATTGTATCAGAATGCAATTACGGCCCAGGTTTCGACGCATCTGACCGAAATCACGTCCAGAGCTCAATCAAAGAAATTCGTCGTGAGCATGCGGTTCGAAAATGTCACTCGGCCAAAAAAAAAAAAAAAAAAAAAAAAGAATGTCACTCGAGCAGTTCTCACACTTCTGGGGAGTTAGCGTCGGAAGGTTTATGTGAGTGACATTGCTTGTGTGTTTTCCAGAATGGCAAGGCAAGATAACGTTGTTTGTGGGTGGGAGAGAGAAAGCTTGAAGTGTTTCCATTTCGGGACGTGTTGGGCCAGATAAAGCTTGAAACATTTCCATTTTTTGAATACGTATCTCCTTTTCTCGCGCGCGCAGAAAAAAAAAAAAAAAGATATTAAACTGATCAGACTCATCAGACCGAACACTACACTTCATCTTACCCAAAACCGTGCACAGATATTGAATTGATCGGAGCAAATACCACATTTCATCTTAGCCACAAGGTCACTCGCAAAGGGAAAAAGCTAACTCTAAAAAAAAAGAAAGCGAAAACAGAAGAGCTGCATAGTATCTGTGATAATGCTCCTCTCCGTACTAAAGAAGACAGAAAGAGGTGAACACGTGGGGGAGTGAGAGAGAGGAAGAGATAGTGATGCATGTTCATCCGGAGATGATCAATGCACGAATCCGACGGAGAGAGGTGA